TTCTGTTGCTGGCTCTGATTTGGTTTGGCTGTGTTTGTTCTAGCAGCAAAGAAGGCATCTCCATTCTCCTTTGTTGAGTGCTTCCAGCTTCCTCTCTCATTCAGTGGAAGAGGAGCACTGAAGTGCCTTGTGAGTCTTCTGCTCTCTCTGATGGTTTCCATAGTCAGCTCATTCAAATTTCCTCTTCCTCTTGTTACTGTATTCTTAATACAGAGAACGTGGTGTGATCTTTTTGGGACTCTGAGACCAAGATGTCTGGCTTTACAGATGATACACTCCTTGAGTGGATCAAAGACTTCAGCTACCTCTCCTCCCAGTGTTGTGTGGGGTCCTTCTTCTCTGGCTCTCTTGGATCTGTTGTTGTTGGATGCGAGTTCAAAAGCCCTCTTCTGCTGTGAATTCCTCTGTTGACTTTGGCAGCCCATCCCTTCTCCATTGGCTGTTGTTGTTGTTGTGGGTGGTGTGGGTGGTGTTGGTGGCTCCATGCTGCTGCTGCTGCTGCTGCCGCTTCCTGAGATAATGACTGCTGTCGAGCGCCGGTGGTTGTTCTTTGGAGCGGCGCCATGGTCGGCTTTCACGGAATTTCGATTTCGTGTTTCGCGAAACAAGAAAATCCGAACTAGGTAGCACACTTTCCCATGTAAATACTTAGAACGGTACGTTATGAAAAGATGACGTATTTGCTGATGTCATAGGTTGATTAGCCAATCACATTACTGCCTTCTACCGCTTTCGCCCTCTGCCTCGATGATGGCCATCGACATCTGGCCGATGAAACCTCGGGAATTTTCGTATCATGATGCCATGTACCACCAGTATGCACCAAAACCTTAAAGGACCTCAACACATCGCGAAACGGAGATAATTGGATTGTTTCGCGATGAAACGTATGATTAATCAAGGTGATCCATGACCATAAGATCGCATCTATAATTTCATCACCTTAGTGGTTGCTTTGTTCCGGATTACTTTTTCTTCTGTGAATTCAATTCCATTCCTATCCATCAATCCTCCACCATGGTCGACACGTTGGACAAGATTCTTGCGACGAGCAACTTCTATGCCATTCTCGGCGTGACCTCGGATGCCTCCAAGTCGGAGATATCCAAGAGCTACAAGCGCCTCTCTCTAAAGGTCCATCCCGACAAGCACTCTTCCGGAACAGAGGACGTC